GGTTTGGCTCAATGGATAGAGCGTCGGCCTGTGGACTGAAGGGTCCCAGGTTCAATTCCGGTCAAGGGCATGTACCTTGGTTGTGGGCACATCCCCAGTGGCGGGTGTGCAGGAGGCAGCTGATCGATGTTTCTCTCTCATCGATGTTTCTAACTCTCTATCCCTCTCCCTTCCTCTCTGTAAAAAATCAATAAAATGTATTTTTTTAAAAAGAGAGAGAGAGAGAATCATTGATTGACTGCCTCCTGCACGCCCCCTCCTGGGGATTGAGCCAGAAACCAGGGTATGTGCCCTGACTGAGAATCAAACTGTGACCTCCTGGTTCATAAGTTGACACTCAACCACTGAGCCATGCTGGCTGGGCAATATTCCACATGTTTTAATGACTAAAACAATTATAGTTACTATTAGAATACCAGTAGATTACCAAGTAAAACTAAAAAAAATTACTTCTAGACCTCTGTTCTGTATCTGCCCAGGACTGCCTTGTGGTCACTCTGGGGCCTTGTCTGCTCCTTCCTCCACCGGGGTCCATCTCTGGGGTCTCTCAAACACAAACTCCCCCGCCTCTGCACCCTGTAACCACATCAGTACCCAGGACACCCCAGCGTTAACTCCTCAAAGTTTGAAGGACAGACCCTAGGGCAACATTAGGTAACGAGCATGATAATAAAGTGAGCCAAGACAATGGGACTAAACAGGGCCACCCCGTGAGCAGGTCACAGAACAGTGTAAGGACTTTCGGTGCTAGAGTTTGGGCCAGACGTTCTGATAGCATTGAGTCAAACCACTTCTCACACGATTATACTGAGAAAATTTGATTAAATTCAAAACCATCACCACCTCTGGGCATTTTAGAGACAGTGACTGATTTCTTGATCTTGAACACTTGCTTTAAATTGAAAGAACCTCCAAAATAGAAACAATGTTCCCATAAAATACACAATATGCAGAGAACACAATAAGGACTAAACTAACCTTGGTTTTAGCTGACTCATTTGAAAGACCAAGATATATAGACGTAGGTCTGAAAAATAAACATACCGTTTATTTCTTTTCAGACACTAAGATAACAGTTTTGGATTTTTTTTTTTCCTTTTTAAATTTACCTCATTTGAGGCCAATTTCCATCTTAGGTGGACACATAGGCTGAAGAGGCCATCTGAAAGCAAGGTGGTAACTGAGCCCCTAGACTAGCATGGGTGGGGAACGTCTGCCCCTCAGGCCATATAAGGCCCAAGAAATCTTTTGGTCTGGCCCTGCCAAAGCATTAGGGGTGAGTTAATTAAATGCTTGACCAAATATAGCAGCCTAACTTTTAAATTGATAATTTTGTATAGCCGCGAATGATGTTATAAATATCCAAATGGCCCTTGGCAGAAAAAAAGGTTCCCCACCCCTGCCCTAGATCAACCTTTTATTTTATTTTTAGTTTTTGAACAGGATATCAATTAGAGATGAATTTCTAGATCAGTAGGCGACTGCATGATTTTAATCTTCTCTGCTTCGGTGAACTCAACTCATATCAAGAAGCTAATTAGAAGGAATCACACTCTAATAAAAAAAAAGCACTAATTGCTGATACACAGCTCAACTGTCAGAAATTAAATAGTGGCTTTGGTATAACTGATCCGATATGTGAGCAAGATTCAGAGACCTTCAGTAGAAAATGGTGATGAACCAACCATAATTGGGTAGAAAGATGTAAGATGGGCTAATGAGCCCTCCCTGGTTGCCCCCCTCCGAGCAGCCTTCTCTGCGAATTCACAGCCTCTCCTCGCCTTCCAGGGTCTCCAAAGGTCAGCACCCATGGGCTCTCTTGGGCCCTCTGCAATGTTCTTTTCTCAAACTGTTCTTAGAATTTCCATCCACTTTTCTTGCCCTCCATGAAGACCTGCACAAGATGCTCACATATCTTACCTCCACTCCTAACTGCTCTCCCACAAATTTAGGACTGCATTTCCAAAACTTTTTGAACATCTATTATCATCTCAAATTCAATGTATTCAGAGCCAAACTCATCATCATCAACTGATTTCCCTCTCTGACTCCCTCCCTCCCTCTCTTCCTCCCTCCTTCCCTCCTTCCCTCCCTCCCTCCCTCCCTCCCTCCCTCCATTAATTGGCCCTGAGCTAGGCCTGGAGCACAGATGAGGACAAACCATTTCTGACCTTAAGGGACTCAGAGTCTGTACCCAAACTGGATCCAAGTATCCTACTTACCCTAAAAACAAACAAAACAAAACAAAAACTTATTTTGTGCACAAAGCAACCAAAGCCAAGAAAGATTGAACGGCTTGTTTAAGATCACATTGTCTATCGGCAAAGCTGGAAGTTAAACCCAGGACAAAGGAGAGAGAGATAGAAACATCAATAATGAGAGAGAATCATTGATAGGCTGCCTCCACACCCCACACAGGGGATCGAGCCCACAACCCGGGTATGTGCCCTGACCAGGAATCGAACCGTGACCTCCAAGTTCATAGGTCGACACTCAACCATGCCGGCTGGACCCAATCTTATTTCTTATATTCCCTATGGCTGCTTGCTCCAGAAAAACTGGTCATTGTATTGTTATATAATATGCCATGAAACAAATAGCCTCCTTTTTCTTTGTTTTCACAATTTCTCCAACTAGAAACATTCTCCTTCTTCCTCTCCACTTAATTAAATCTTACCCTTCCTCTAATACAGAGCTCATATCTCACCACTTCTATAAATCCTTTCCCAACTCTCTCATCCCAAACTACTAGAGCATTTATTTCCTGAGCCAGAAAACCCAAATCTCAACAGTGGAAAATACCCATAGTTCACATTTGGGTCAAGAAGCTAATAAAATGGCAGAATTTTCCCATCAAATACCTTCAAAAGTAATTTACAAGGTAAGATTATAGTACACTCACAAGAACTGCATCTCTATAAATCTGTCAGGATCTTTAAGTAGGGGGCGGGAGGAGATTCAAAATCAATAAATAATTCACCGACATTGAGATCTGCTGTTTGGACCAGAATAATTTTACGAAGACACTGGCAAAGTTTCATGCCTTCATTTCATTTTGCAAAGATTGTCAGGAACCAGCTTATGAGTACGATCATGAGAAGAAAGCCTGCCTAGTGTAAAGACAAATCATTACAGAGGCTATAAACACACTATACTTTATCTCCCCTTCCTGTTTCTGGTGATTTTTTTTCCACACGATACAAACAAAATAGTCTCATTTAAAAGATACCATTTCTATGTATCACTGTTTTAAAGGATGTTTTTCTGAGTCCTGGTGAAAAGATGCCTTGTGATAACACCCAATGCAGTTCCTATCTAGAATTCAAAAACAGTTATTAAATGCCTTACTTTAATATACATATATCTCTATCATGAAGCTTCAGGTAATGGAAGTAAGCATGAGGAGAGGAAAATCCAAGGTAATCCTAGTCTTTCTACCTGTGGATTGGAAATACGCCAGACTCACCTGTGGACCTCCCACATCTTCCTGACCACCAGCGTGTGCTATCCCTGAGTCCCACTCCCAGGGGATATGAGAATCAGCACGGTATTCACCAGCCTGGGTCTCGAGACCCCTGGACTGTCCACACACGGGGCCATCCTGCTTGTTCCTGCTGCCTCCATCCCGCTCAGTCATTTGCTGCTGAGACTTGTAACGCCTCCCTGATCTTTTCAACATCCTTGGGCTTGACCTATTTTGATAGGTGTCTGTTCTAGCCCTTCAAGACTGTATGTTCATCCTGATTTAACCTCTTGCTGGTTTAATCCATCATGTCTGACTATCCCTTTGCTCGACTGAGCAGTGGACAGTCTTCTGATGGGAAAGAAGATTCAGCTCCAACCCACTTCTCCAACCTATTTTCCTGTGGGAACCCTTTACGTCAAACAACCTGACCCGTGCACGGATCCTTGAATGAGCCATGCCATGCACATCCCCACTGTTTCCCAACAGTCCCCATCCTGCAAGACGGACCCAGTTCAAGGCTCTGCTCTCAAGAAGCCTTCTCTGGCTTCTCAGTCTGATAAGCGGCCTCGCCTCTGAACCAGTGTGCTGGCTGCCTGCATTAGTGACTCCAGCAGCAGGTCTCACAAAACAATAGTCTCAGAGAAGGTTTCATCGATGTTTGGTACACACACGGGGTGCCTGGTATAGAACATGTAGTCAATAATAGTTATTGAGTGAATTAAGGACAGAGTAGTTTTCAACCAAGCAATTTTGCCCACCAGGGGGACATTTGGCAATACCTAGAGATAGTTTTGGTTGTCATGACTAGCATCTGGTGGGTCAAGATCAGGGTTGCTATGAAATAGCCTACAATGGATAGGACGAAGATTATCCGGCTCCAAATGTCAATAATGCCGAGGTTGAGAAACCCTACACTACAGTCAGGCTAATCAGAGACAAATTTCTAACTACTGATACTAACTGCTTGGCCTTGAGTACATTATCACATTTCTCTAAGTCTCAATTTCTCCATCTGTAAAATGGGGGATTAACTGTAATTGTGTGTGTGTGTGTGTGTGTGTGTGTGTGTGTATGAAATAAATTAGACAGTGCATACAAAGTACTTAATAGTGCCCTAGCTGGTTTTGCTCAGCGGTTAGAGCATCAACCTGTAGACTGAAGGGTCCGGGGTTCAATTCCTGTCAAGGGCACATGCCTGGGTTGTGGGGCTTGATCCCCAGTAGGGGGCGTGCAGGAGGCAGCTGATCAACGATTCTCTCTCATCATTGATATTTCTCTCTCTCCCTCTCCCTTCCTCTCTGAAATCAATAAAAATATTTTTAAAGTGTTTAATAGTGATTGGTGCATAGAAAGTGTGACCTATAAACATAGCCTATGAGCATTCTTACCATTAACCTTCATTTACTTCTCATAATGATGACGAGGCTCTTCAGATGGAGTCTTTATGCTCTCAGAACAATCCCACAGTGAGTGTTTTTACCAAAATAAGGCCCGCACTCCCCTATATGTTCAGATTATATATATATGTGCTCACCGGGGGCTCAATTATGAAAATGTTATTCAAGAAGAGTATGCTGTCCGCCTGCACCAGCCTTCTCTGATTCTCAAAGGTGCGGGAGAGAATGGAAATCCGTTCTCGGAGTAAAGGATCACTAACAAACTCTTGAAACTCGTCAGTCTCATCCTTTTCCTCTTTGATCAGATCCTCACAGACCCTGAAGGGAAACGGAAAAGGTGAGATTCACTTTGGTACTCCCATGAAGACCACTGTAAAGGGCTCCCCCCTCCACTCCCGCCTCCTGGGAATGATCTCGCCCATCGCCCTGGGGCGGTCCCTCCTTGCCCTGAGGGTGTAACGTGCTATCTGAGTGATCTTCTATTTGAACTTCTCAAGAGCCTCAGTTTCCTCTTTAGTCACTTCCTTCAAGAAGTCCTCCTGGGCTTCCTGTCCTCCACTTGCTTTCTCCTGAGCCATTATGCATATTTGGACAAATATTTTATTTTAGGTAATAGTGTTTTTCCAAGTTGCTGTTTAAACACTTAACATCTACTCTACCTCTCACACTTCAAGGACAATTTTGTTCCTGTTAAACTTGCTTAGCTTTAATTCTTTCTTAGATGGAGAACAAAATTGAGAGCCAGTGCGCACTGGGCTTGGATGCTGATTCTACTATCTATTTACTAGCCCTCTATTCTGCCCTCACCACAGATGTGATCCCATTACTCCTGGTAGCCATTACTTCACCTGAATTTTTAAAAAATATATCTCTATTTATTTCAGAGAGGAAGGGAGAGGGAGAGAGAGAGATAGAAACATCAATGATGAGAGAGAATCACTGATCAGCTGCCTACTGCACATCCCCCTCTGGGGGTCAAGCCCGCAACCTGGGCATGTGCCCTTGGCCAGAATTGAACCCGGGACTCTTCAGTCCACAGGTCGATGCTCTATCCACTGAGCCAAAACAGCTAGGGCTCACCTGAATTTTTGGAGACTGCATTTTATCTCCTCCCAGGGTATATGACCATTTTCTCAACATTTTACTGGTATCACCAATAATGAGAGACAAATTATTTAATGAGAGCCTAGGGTCACTGAATTCCTGCCCAAGGCCCAACTATTCTCTAAATGACTTCATACAAACTACATAGCAATGTCAAATAGCTCCTTTTGATAACTTTCGTGTCTAGGTTCCTTTGGCCACATAGCATAAAGATGCCAAAGAAATGGCTTCAGTGTGTTCTGGTTCCATTCTGTGCTTCCTTTTTATTGTGTTTCGGAAGCAGTGTCTCGGGTAACGAGCAGTCCTTCTATACTGCTGGGCAGAGCAGCGTAAATTAGAGAGAGCTCGGTCCACAGAAAGGAAATCGCCAATTCCTGTGAGTGGAAGCTGTAACGCCTATCTCTAGAAATCAATCTTAGAGGAATAATCACCGATGTAAGTAAAAACACAGCTACAAAGATGCTCATCAAAATGCTAGCAACAATACCAAAAAATGTGGGTAAATTTTATATAAGAGATTGAAGGATTGGTTAAACAAATAATGGGAATCATAAAAATTACATTTATTTAGGGGTTTAATGGGAGTGGTGTGTGGGGATAAAATGCCTCGTATGGACTAAGGATGGATAATAATGCTCCATGAACTGAAGAGTATGATTAGCTCAACCCTTGAACCAGAAAAAAAAAAAAAAAGGAAACAGAACATAAATTGCCAAGCACTGCTCTTCTCCCCTGCTGCTGGGACTCTTAAATCAGTAACAGCTGCATAATGCAAAGGGGGTGGGTGGAGGGTGGAGGCTGGTCCCACACGTCTCATCTTTGCCCTCTGATGCGGAAATGGAGCCACAGCTGAGGTACTAAAAGGCAACATGCAACAACACCTTGAGCTGGGTTGACTCCAACAAGGGCTTCTAGATACCCCTGGCTACTGTGAGGCCATTTTTCCTGCTGGTCTCCATGGTCTCCTGTCTCAGAGGTGGTTCTGTGCTACAGCTGAGGACGCCTCTCATCAGAGAGCTCAACAACACACCAGCCTTCTCTTTCAGTTAAACCATGGATTTAACCTATTTTCCAAATGGTCTGGTGGCCACCAACACCCATCACCTTCAGGCCTCAAGTAGAGTTCAGCCGATGGATTATAGTCAATGGGAAAGACTTGTGTCTCAGGTATATTAGCATCGAACCAGTAATGCTTCCTCGTCTTCAGGCGCTAGACACCCTGCTCCCCTGCAGCACCCTGAAGAGATGATAACTAGATGCCGAGGAGGTTGGAAACTAAAAGCCATGGCCTTCACAGCTGGGAGAAATACTCCCATGTCCGCACCTGGCGTGGAAAGGTCACAGCCATCCACCTTCAAATGGACCATGCGACCCTGGTCACTGAGCACTCTGTGATGACTGTTTTAAACTGAGGACTAGATGTCCTCTCCCTGTTTATCAAATACCGCTCAAGATTAAATTTATTACTACCTGGGTGGCAGGCCCAACGCCCCATTAAAACTGATCTATCTAGCCCTAACCGGTTTGGCTCAGTGGATAGAGCGTCGGCCTGCGGACTCAAGGGTCCCAGATTCGATTCTGGTCAAGGGCATGTGCCTTGGTTGCGGGTACATCCCCGGTGGGGAGTGTGCAGGAGGCAGCTGATCGATGTTTCTCTCTCATCGATGTTTCTAACTCTCTATCCCTCTCCCTTCCTCTCTGTAAAAAAATCAGTGGAATATATTTAAAAAAAAACACACACACAAAAAAAAACTGATCTATCTAGAGAAACATGTATTTTCCTATTTCTGAATGTTGTGGAATAAATCCATGCTGACTACTCGTGGGAGTCCTCTGAAGACTGCAGGAGTTCCTGCACAGAGTAGATCTAGAATTTGAGCCAGCTGCTCTTGAGACATTGGTCATGACCTTCATGGAGAAGTGGGGAGCAGAAATCCTCAAAAGCCCATGCCGAGTCTGATGAGAATGAGTATGAAAGAATCTTATGGTAATGTTTTATAATTCCTCAGGACAAAGGGGAGGAGGTAAGGTGGGATGAATGCTGCTTCCCTTTCTGAAGAGATTAATTTCTCTACAAGTCCCAGAAAAACATCAAAAAGACAAAGACCCAAAAGGCAATTTTTATGCCCTCTGTGTCTCATTCTGAAGGTTTAAATAAAAGTGGGGAGAAAAAACTCAAAGTCCAGAATTTCTTCCTAGGGGGAGTGACATCTTCGTTAGAATCTGGAGCCTAGGATTAGTCCATGATCCCAAATCTGGACACATGTCCTATGGTTGGTACCAACATGCTGAGGTATGTGGAGAGGAAGGAAGTCATCCTTCCTAGAATGAAAATGGTAACTTCCAGAAAGGAATAGGGCATCCTACTCTTGAGGAGGGCTGAAATTCCTCCACTGGGAGATCAGCAAGATGTAGTGGCCAAGAAACCACGATGGCTGGAATGGGGTCTTGAGGGTACTGGTTAAAGCAATTGGCAATCTCGATGTGACCACTGAGCAACTTCCAGCTCCTATGAGATGAATGCCTTAGGACAAGGTTTAAGCCATGTTAGAGTTGGAAAGCAGTGGGCAGACTCCTGAGTCTCACTTAAAAATCTACACTGACATTTTAAATCGTAGGTCCTTGGGATGCTGCAAAGGGAAACTTTAGTCTAAGCTCACAGTATAGATGAGACCGTTTAGAATAGATCCTCTGTCCCAAGTTCAGGACCAAAGTCGACCTTCCTCTCTACATTTCTAACTACAGAGGCTGCTGAAGGAAGAACAGGGGCAGATTGCTCATCACCAGGAGCAGGAGAGTCAAACACGAGGAGGATTATTCTGGGGATACCTACACTGGCCTCGTTGGGGAGGTCATGCGGAGGTTTATACCATTAGCTAAAGATCTGACTGCTGCTTCTCAGGGATGAGCAAACCTCTGACCAAAGCAAGCTACCAGAGAACATTCTGCTTTATCTCACACTGCTGTGTGGCTTGAGATACAACTTGAGGATTTGTGACTTAGAGGAGAAGGGCTCTTACTCACGGCAAGAGCACTGCCACCTACAGAGGGGAAACTATCCAGAGATGGGAACTAAATGTTCAGTAAACAAAAAACCTCTCTGTAATTGCCTTTTTTTTTCCTGGAGGATGGGCATCTCATAGCTACTTATGTCCCAAATAAGAATCCATGACTAATAATATAAGTTGTGGCATGCTCAGGGATGTATTAAGGAACAAGAGAGGGATGAGAGAGGAGAGACAACCTGGTCAAATAAGGTATTAGGCATAAATGGCCCATTTCCCCCTTTAAATCAATTTTCCTTCATGTCCCAGGCATCTGGCCCTAGGAGAGAGGGGAAGAGGGTAAGGAATGGCATATTCAATAAACCCTTCACTTAAATCAACCAACTCAGTTTGGAGAAACATGAGTTATGTTGCTATGTGTCATCCAAAGTGAAAATGGAAGTATTCTTATTAGCCATCTGATGCCACTTTTCAAGTTCATTGTTTAAGGGAAGGGCATGATCCTAGATAATAAAATTAGGTTTCTAACCATGGTTATGAAAATGTTATCCCATATGATGCCCTCGCTACAGAAAAATTGCTAGATGCACTAATAGAAAGAGCAAGAGAGGTAGTGAAAGAAAGATAATATAAGAGAAAAGGAATAAGACTCAAGGATAATATTAAAGAGATAAGGGTGTGAGTGTCAGGGAAGGTAGAATGGGGAGGCAGGGTGGGGAGAGAAAAGAAATATCCATCCACACATGGTTGAAATTATATACTCTGTATCTTAGCATCTCTGATAGCAATTGGTTTGAATTCTTCTTGAGTTTCCCCGTTGAAATCAACATCCTTAAATATTTTTTGGACATAGACTTGGCATCAACTATATCCCATACATATAATCAAACACATAGGCATAGTTGAATTGAAAGCTGGCTTCCCCTCTGATAGTGTATATTCATTCTCCCCAAGTGATTATGCCTACAGGACAAGCAGGTTATGTAAACACTACATTGACTACTATTCCTTTGATTGTACTTGCTCTCGCATCTTATCTTTAAACCTGCTTGGACCATTCTGATTGATGGTACACACATCAGCTGGGGAATCAGGACCAATGAAGCAGTGGATGACCAGTTTCCTCTTGCCTTTCTCAACTTCTGGTGTTTCTATACCATGAAGCAATGAAAGTTTTTAGGCAGGAAAGGCTTTTCTTTTCTCACTTTTTCAAGATGACACAGTGGCAATCCAGTGATTAAAGCTCCCTGCCTGAATAGTGAAGCTGCTGGTTCCTCTGTGTCCTGTCATTGTCACAGCTCCTTCTGATTCAATTAGGGGCAGCACAGTGGGGGATTTCTGTCTGGTTTCCATGGACCTAAGACTTTTATTTTTATCACATACTAACTTGGTTTTAAACAAAGCTTTGAAGCTTCCCAGGGCTAATCTTTAATGAAATTGGAGAAGCAAATAAAAAAGGCTGAATAAATCCAAATGAAAGCAGCAAAGGTGCTAATTTGGGGAGGATGAAAGGAGTTTAAAAGAGGCAAGGGTAGATTCAGGAAAAAGAAATATTCAAAATTTAATAGTGAAGAGATTAGTTAAAATAGTTAGGTTTTCTATTTTATTAACTTTCTCTACTGCCTAAAGTATCACTTTAAAAAGCAGAAATTAAAGATACCAACAAGAAACATTATTAAATTATATGGTTAGCAGGGATTCAGCAATGCTACTAAAACTGGGACTATAAAAGCTGTTATATCTAAGCCCTTCTTCTTCCTCATTCTTCCTATTTTCTGGAAATACCTTTTCACTGAAAAAAAAATTCCACATTGATCCCAACCCAAAAGAGATTATTTTTAGAAACCCTATGATACTTACTCAATCTGATTAGGGCTATGAAATGAAATACAGATGTATAGATTAGATTTGAGGAAACAGTGAAGAATTATATATTTGGTCTTCAAAATCCAGTAGTTTGGCTACTGATAAATTATAACCAGGTTAAGATTAACTGATAATGGACAACATTGTGTTCCACATAGTTCAACTCAAGTTCTTTCAATGAAAAAATGAGCATTGTATACTAGAAACAAGTTATAAAAATTTGACATTGTTGAATTGGTTAAAAAGTTACCATGAAAGTCACTGATTTTTCATAATAACTGAGCTTTGTGTTTCCCCAAATTACAGCACCTAGGTGATTTTTCTTACAAACCTATACTTTTCTTTATCTTCCTCTTCCTGGGTAGCAAATATCTTCCATTGGAAATGGGCAATGATGTTACTGCGATTGTAAATAGTTATAGTTCTCTGATTGGCCAGAGATATGTAGGTTTTCTCAATGATCAAAGAATTCTTGTCCAGTCTTATATTCATGTCTACGGCAGCTCCATACAGAGATACAAACATTTTTTCACCTAGAAATTAACAAAGTAAACACATTTTGAGATTTGTTCTAGAATGATTTTACTAGGCTAACCTCCCCCCCTCCCCACCACGGTGAAGTTAGGGAATATTGCACAAGCATTACACATTTCATTTTTTCCCCCTATCAATCCAGAGGTCAGATATGATTAGTAAACTTCAATTATATTTGGTGCAATTATAAAGAATCAAATCTTGCTTAATATGAATTGCTGTGGTAGTTGCTACAAGACTTTTTCTTCTTTGTGACAGTTTTAAATCCTACAGCCCAACCATGAGGTCAACTGAGTTCTAGACTTATAATCAAGGCCTCATCTCCATCTCAAACATGAGCTGGATTTCTGATTCTTAAAGTAATTGTACCAAGTATATCTGGGAAGAGCTGCTCAGCATGAGAGGATCTAAGTCCAAATCAAAGGGGATCAGGAAGGAGATTCAATAACTTCATTAATAGAAAACAGACTATTTAAGAGAAGCCACATCCCTAAACAACAGCAATTAAACTAAAACAAAAATGAAACACACATGCACACACTACATAGAGAGACAAAAGCTATGTTTATAATTTAAAATTCTTTTAATGTTAAGAACACCTTCATTCAACATAGTAATTTATCCCAGACTTCATTTAAGAAGCACCCATTGCCTTAATTCCAGGTGTATACATGAGGGCCCCACTTCCCAGAAGACACAAACCTACACACTGTACTCTAGCTGCCCTCTGTAATATCACGGGGAGTGCAGAGAAAGGAAAATACGTAGGTACTATGAATGTCCTGTTGATCTGTACTGCTAAAGCTTTAATGAGCATCCAGAAAGCATAATCATTTGCACTTCATTTTTTAGCAAACATTTTTGTTCCATTCACAATTGTATGAACCAAGCAGTTAGTTAGTAAATTGACAACAATTTTAAATGTATATTTCCTGATAAAATAACTTAAATATCTGAACAAAATATGAATAAACATCTTTTTACAGGCACTTCAGAGCAATCATGATGGGAGGGAACCACTGGGTCAAAATTAAAGAAAAACAGGACCCAAAGAGATAAATGAGCATGGAAAAAAGTTTTGACATGAGGACATGCTACTCTTGGCAATTTTGAGCTACCATCCTTGTGAGGGCAGGACAGATAGAAATCAAAGTCTATGAAAGGGGAAACTTAAGATGAAAAAAAAAAACCATCCTTCCCACAATAAGCTGAACCTCAATCCTCAAAGAACTGTACACTCAAGATGAGGGTAGCCCTCGTTCAGAGTTAAATATTATACTGGAATTTATGTTTTGCAGAAAACTTCAAGCATTAAATTTCGTGGTCATGGAATAGCTTTGCCCTCAAAAAACAAACAAACAAACAAAAAAAAAAAAACTCGTTTCTTTTTAGAGAAAGGTACTTGCACCCAAAGTTTCAAAATTTTCAACATTACAAAAACAACAACAATACACAAAAGCATAGCCAAACATAACAGGACATGTTAAAAACAAAACAAAACAAAAAAAACATAAGTTAGAACCTGAAGATACAAGAAAAACAGAAACAGATCCACAAAGAATCAGACAGTAGAATCATAATATGTAGACTATAGACCAACTATGCTTAGTGATTTAAAGAAAAAAAGGATGAGCTTAACTATATGTAAGGAGTAGGAAATTTTTAAAATCTAGAGAATTTGAAAAAGAGCCACATTTTTGGCTCTCTCATAGAAAAAAAATAACCTAAAATTTAAAAACTCTAAGAATATACCTAAGAGAATTTTGTTAATTTTATTAAAAAATTAGTGAAATAAAAGATGGTTCAGAAAATACAAAAGGCAATAAGAAGAAATAAAACTATACGGAAAATACACAATGAATGGGTAAAAGCCTAGGCAGATGAAGTGAGATGGTGTAAAGTGTTTAACTGGAAACTTGGGAGAGGAAAAAGATAATGAAGCAAAGAAAATATTTCAAGAAATGATGGTTAAGAGTTTTCTAGGATTGATTAAACACATCAGTTCACAATTCAAAAAGCTCAATGAATGACAAGTAGAATAAATTAAAAGAAATTCATACATAAGTAAATTGCAGTGAAACTAAAGAAAATCAAAGACAAAGAAGAAATCCTAAAAGTAGGCAGAGGGGGAAAAAGATGTTACCTTCAAAGGACCCATGGTTAGAATTACAGCTAACTTTTCAATGGAAACTAAAAAACAATGAAATAGTTTCTTCAATATGATAAGGAGAAACAATGCCAACAAAAATGCTATAATTTTCAGCATATTTTTGTCTAAAAATGTCTGTTTTGTCTTCACTTTTTAAGGATATTTTCAATGTATAAAGAATTCTAAGTTAATTTTTTTCCTTCCAGCTCTTGAGTAATGACATTTTACTGTCTTCTGACTTCCATAATTTCAGGTGTAAAGTTTGCCATCAATCAGTATTATTAGTGTGCCTTTTAAGATGGGTGTATTTTTTCTCTAACTATTTTTATACTCTCTTTGCTTCAGTGTTCAGCAGTATTTGTACTACCAAGAGTTTTCTGAGCTTTGTGAACCTTGGATTAATGTCATTCATCATTTTTGGAAAATTCACAGCCACTATCTCTTAAAATATTTTTCATTTCATCTTTTTCTCAATTTCTTCCTCTCTGATCACATATATGGTGACTTTTTGCCTGTGTCTCATATCTACATAGCCTTTGCTTTCTGTTCTTTTCCCCCTCATTCTTCTTTGCTTCTCTCTGTAATTCAGTATGGGTAGTTTATATTGACCTGTATTCAGGCTCACTAATGCTGTCTTCTGTTGTATCAATTCTGTTATTAAACTAACACAATTAATTCTTCATTTCCAACATTAAATTTTCAGCATAACATTGTTCTTATAACTTGACAAAGATAAAACAATGGGGCCAATATATAAACTGGTTACACTTCTGAATATCAATGTAAAATCATCAATTAAAAAATTATTAAGAATGATATTGTGCAACCAAATGGAGTTTGTTTCAGGAATGCAAAGATGGCTCACTATTAAAATGTCTATTAACATGCAATAGATCTAAGGAGAAAAATTATATAATCTCCACTGATGCTGAAGAATCTAATAAAATTCAAAACACATTTTTATTTTAATAACTCAATAAAATAAGAACTGACAGAATTAAAATATAGTATAAAGCCTCAGTAACACAGCATGAAGAGACAGACCAATGGGTGGAATGGAATAAAAAGTCAAAACAGAGCCAGATGTATATTGGAATGTATTATATTATAAAGACAGCATCTCCAATCATTGGCTTAATGATGAATTTTGTTTTTAAAAAAGTGCTATTGGGACAACTTAGCAACCATATGAAAACAACATCAGAATGAAAGCCAAATTAATAAAATATTTCAATGTTTAGTATGAAACCATAAAAGTATAGGAAACTTTTTGATAACTGTAGAGGGAAAGTTTTCTAACTTTGACTCAAAATCAACGTTCCTCTTAAAAAAGATTAGAAAAGTGACTACATACAAATGACAAAAGAAATTTTGTATGGCACAAATGTTCATTCGCAAAAGTAAAAGAAGAACTGGGTAAAATATTTGCAACTGTGTCTGAGACAAAGGTATTAGATCTCTAAATATATAAATAGCTCTTGGAAATCAACAAGAAAATCCAATAGAAGAATGGAATTGTGAAAAATGAAATACAAAGGTCCCCTATATGTACTAACAGATGCGCAACTTCGCTCACAATAAGAGAAATACAGAAGAGCTGTATTTCTATACCATTTCCCCCATCAGACTGGCAAAACAAAACAAAAATTTGAGAACATAATTTGTTGTCAAGGCTAAGGGGAAATGGCACCCTCACACACTGTTGGAGGAATGCATGATGGTACCATTCTTCATGGAGTCTATTTGGTGACACAGATCTAAATATCTATCAAAATTATAAAACTATGAATCCACCCTGACCTGTTTGGCTCAGTGGATGGAGCGTCCGCCTGCGGACTGAGGGGTCCCAGGTTCAATTCCGGTCAGGGGCATGTGCCTTGGTTGCGGGCACATCCCCAGTAGGGAGTGTGCAGGAGGCAGCTGAATCGATGTTTCTCTCTCATCGATGTTTCTAACTCTCCATCATTCTCCTCCCTTCCTCTCTGTAGGAGATCAATGGAATATATTGAAAAAAACAAACAAACAAACTATGCATCCTCTGGCCCACTTTTAGGAATTTATCCTATGGACAAGTCAGAACAAGATCGATGGTATTCAATACAGCATTGTTCTTAATAACAACAGAGTGGAAATAGCCCAAGTACAGCCATCAGTAGAAGGCCAGTGAAATAATCTGTGCTACACCTGAAGGTGGAATGCTGTGCAGGTATGGAAAAGTGCACCGTGCTATGGGAAGATCCCCAGGACATATTATTAAGTAGAAAAAACAAGGTTCAGAACAATTGATACAGTATGTTGTTTTGTATAAGTGGGGAAGATAAGTGTGCATTCACGTTTGCATCTATTTGTAAAAAACACTGGGAAGATATGCAAGAAACCAATAAAATAAGAGCAAGGTGGGATGAATGAGATAGGGTGGGAAGTAACACCTTTCAACATACACTTTTAAATATATTTCTTTAATTTCTGAATATATGAATACATTACTTATCCAATATTTTAATGTAAAAATGGATTATAGAGCCTCAGGAAAATTGTGAAGCTTCTAGATAGCACTAGTAACTAGAGAAGTATAAAATACCATCTCATAACCATCCGAAAGAAATGCGCATAGCAAAATGTTGAGATATGTTAAACATAATGGTTGTTGATTATATCATGTCTGTGCTTTTGTGGTTATTTGAAATAAAGAGGAGGGGGAAAGTAGGCTTACAGTTATTCATATGGAAACATATCTAATACAAGAATAAATAATAATACAAGAATAAATTCTATGTTTCATGTACTCAAAACTGTAAACCTACTTTTGCCCACCCTGTATTTCATTGGTTAAAAGGCCTGGGAGGGGGC